AATTTGCATAACATTTCTAACACTATGCGTAGAACAGAAACAGTAAGATAGTCACATAATCTTCCATTTTCTCTCACTCTCCAATTTTTTACTGTGCAAAGTTTTGTTCGTGTCAAAAGGAAAATTAGTTTAGACAATAAATGAAATTTATTAAGTGAAAGAAACTTGACAAATTCACACACCAAAGAATAATCAAATATGTTAGGCACTAATCCATACACGGTTGAAACCCCAGGATTCATTTCCATATTAATCAACAGTACTAATAGCTAGTATCAGACTGTGCTCACAGAAAACAGTTACATAGCACTACAACAAAGACTGACATATAAAATCCTCCTTAAAACATGGTTGTTCACAGGAAGGCTAAAAAACAAACCTCAGGAGAAAAGAAAACTACTTAACTCAGGAATCCAATGTATATAAAATTCTTGCAGTTCCTAGTTGAAAAAGAGATTCTTGTAGCATCCAGTACCAAGAACATATTAATTGACAAGCTAGTTATGCTTGTTTGGCCAAATTTCCTCATTAACATGTATAGAGCAAAATAGATATTTTAACTACACCTACTCTCAATTGCTAACTCTGTCTCCCCCTCTTTCACACACAAAAATACAATTAAAGGCTATATTGTTTACTATTTTACCTCTATAGAATGTCACGTGCTCAATATGAGCTACAACACACATCTTCTCTCATTCCTAAAAGCAGCATTGTATAACTGTATTATTTATAAGTATTTCAGAAAAAAACTAAGATAACATTTCCATTTTTAATGATTTCTCTTTGGGGAAATATTATATAATCCCCAAACATACCCCAGAGACAATGATTTCCTTGCCATGTTGTTATTCTGAAAAGGTCATTAATGCAGTGAAAGGTCACCTTCATCCCTAGAGAATGTCATGTTGGTATTTTTTTTGGTCATTAAGGAAACATTCATCTCTCTAAGTAAATCATTAGAAAGACCATTAGGGAACTTTTCATTAAACACTCATTTATAATGGACAGCAATCATTCAGGTTTTCCATACTGTACTTACCTTCCTGTCTGGCCAATTATACTTTGCAAATATTGTATCATATGTGTCCACAGCACCATCAGTGATCAGCATTATGGCTTGGCTGCAAATACTCCCTTGCCCAGTGTGATTGAACTGTGAAAGGAAACAGTCATTTAAGTAGCAGATTTAAGAGTGTAGAATCTGGAGAGAAGCTCTATTGCACCCAAAAACATAGGCAAAACAAACCTTCCTATCATTTTTTAATCTTTTATTATATATGGCTTTAATTTATTGTACTATACTTAGGTATCTGTATAATACAGTAGGTACAGTTTATTCTTGGGTATCCACTGAGGGTGGAATAAACACCCTGATCTATTAGAAGATACATATTCACAAAACACAGCATTCTGCAAAAACAGAACAATACAAAACAACCAAGCAAATCAAAAGTCCTAACAGAACCAAATCCTCCTATTGTGTACTGTGGAATGTCTGAGAGGTGTGGATTTTTGTTTGGTTTGTTTGCATACTACAATAAGCTACTCAAGGGAAGACTGGGCTTCTTAAGGAATCTTTCCCATCAAGTTGTTATTTGGAGGAAATTTTAGTATTTATATATGTATATCTTTGAATTTATCATACAAGCCCTAGTGGATACCTCATAATAACTGTTTCCTCTCCTATTATCCAAATACTACAGTATGATACTATAGTATCTAAGTGCCTCACAAATATTACACAATGTGTCAATTGGTATGTGTTAGGAAGCAATCATTCACATTTTATAGATGAAGAACCATGGCACAAACTCAGATAAATTAAGTCATTTTCCCATGGTTATAAAGAAAGTCGGTGGTTGAGCCAGGAACAGAACTCAGATCTCTTGAGTCTGAATCCAGTACACATTTGGCAGGGAGCCTACCACCAAGAAAATGGGAAATCGGTGCTGACAAAAGAGTGAAATGGACTCATTGTGAGTGCAAATCAAGAAGTGATGAGATACCAAATAGCACATAATTGGAAGACAGAAGTGGAAGTAAATGAATGCTCCAATACTGGAAGAATAGAAACAACAACATGGAAAAAGATGCACTCACAGGACAACCAAAAAGCTTTATTTGAAGGGGGAGAATTAATGAAAATGGAAAGCAAGAGCCCAAAAAGGGAGAGTAGTGATGATAACTCCACATGCAAATATGTTGGTAGATACAATGATATAGGTATAGGCTATAGCACAAACACTGGATGAAGCTCTCAAGGAGGCTGTAAAACCAAAGCATATAAATTAGTAGGATGATATCATTTATGCTACAGCAATAGTAGGAAGCTCACCCATGACACATCAACTCAGCTGAGGATTTGAATCAATGGAAACTTGCCCACATTCAAGAAACTCCGAGAAAACAAAGGTTAAACTAAAATATTCAGCTGTTACATCGGGATATCAGCCTACCAAATGAATTTTTAAAAAATCATTTGAAGAGAAAACAGAAGCAAATGGCCCTGCAGATGAAATATGAGCTGAGTGAAAGGGATGTGAGAGATGTGCAGGAACAATGCAAATAGAAACTGATCACTAAGTCAGAGGCGTGAAAGATATTCAGCACAAAGCTGTCAGTGTCAAGAGAACAGACTCTTCACAAGATCTCCTAAGAGATTCTTTGATCATACCGACATTGAAAGTAGAACAGGAAAAAAAGAGAGCCAATAAATAATGTGTAAGATATCAGTTCTAATGGAAGGAAATCTAGTCTGAGAAGGTAAATCTGTTTTCTGATGTGTTGTATTAAAAAAAAATAAGAGAAAAATGTAAAAACCACGCAACAAACGAATACAAAGGGAATGTTTTAAAAAAAGGAATTCATGATGTTCTGAGAAGAATGAAAAATCAGAATGCACCCAGACCCGCTAGGAATCATGGATTCTGCCTGAAATGCCTAACAACTCTCCATGATTATTTACTTTAACAACTTAATACATGTTTGAGAATGGGTATCCAAGATGGATGGTGACATCATCCGCATGCTGCCTCTCACCAAAAAAGGAAGGAGGGCGCTGTGATCCCAATCACATGGTTACCAACTATGTGGAAAGTTCTTAATGGCAATTCTTGATTACACTAGATTCTGCTTCCTGAACAAAAATTAGAACAGTATACACAAAAGGGACAAAGATCACGTGAGGCCGAAAAGGACAAGACATGGACAGGATGTACCTCTGACTACATGATGGAGAAAAAGCTTTGCTATCTGTGGAGCAAGCAACTGACAATGAAGTTCATAATACCAAAATCAATGAGGAGTCAGTCAGAGTAATAGATCATCTGGTTGCAGGAACAAGCAATGGTCAAGTATGTCTCCCAGCCCAGAAAATATAGAAGAAAAGGGAAAGTAAGAAAGACTCAAAAGATGTATACAGAAATCAATGCAGAGATAGTGGTGGTGAAGGACTGTATCCATTAGTGACTGAAGATGAACAAACTAATAGCTTGTAGACAAATGACTTTAAAGAGAAACAGAAACTATGAGACCACATATTGATAATGACTGAAACAAAACTGATGGTCAAAGCTCCTCCCCAAACTGTAGAATACATTCTGGAAGAGATGGTGGAGCATATGCTGAGCCCCTGCAGGAGCCTGGCTGGGAGAGAATATATAACAAACACAATGAAGTTGCCAACGGTCGACATTGGAGTCTCTGTGGAGTCCCTCATTTAAATGAACCATCAAAATTACAACCAATGAATTGAAAGCCCTCTAGACAATGAAGACGCTAAGATTTTATGGGAGCCAGCAAATTTCACAGACTGAATGCTGCAGACAAACAGGCTGAAGATAGTTGTTGCAGGAAGGAAGACAAGAAAGATATGAGCAGCCAAAAAATTAGGCAGGGAAGTAAGAGGAATGCTGCCACAAAGCAGAATGCTTCTTAAAAGAACATGAACAATCACAGTGATTACTGGAGCACTGATTGATCCCTAAGTGTGTGAATGAGCAGCTCAAGGACATGCTAGAAGTGCAAGACAGCATGGATAGCGACCTCCAGAAGATTATGCTTGTAGTCACAGCAAGAGTTTTAAGGAAAGTCAAAGGACAATGAATGCATCTGAGCATCTAACATGCAGGAATTCTACAAAGTGTTCAAAAAAAGCTCCTGATTTCTTAAACCTTTTGAGTCGCTTCATGGTCAGGATTTACTGGTAACTCAGGGTAAATTTTAGAATGCTTTCTCCTTTATATATGTTAACATGGTGTATGTTGTGAAGGCTATTTGTGTAAAAAACAAACATCTTAATGCTGTAATACTGAGGGATAACAACAACAACAATTAATAAAGTTGCTGATGTTCAAAAACATTCTTCACTTCAAGGGGACTCATACATCACAGAGCAGTCCATGGGTGAGATCTGGGGACAAAGTTACTGAAAGGCAGCCACAAATATGTAGGTACTCCCAACACAGGATAAACAAGCAGCCACTCTTGCTGTACCCTCTTGCACAGCAGAGAGATAGTATCACGTGCATTACACAAATCTCTGAATGAACTGGTCTCACAGACACTTTGTCTATCTTCCAAAGTGGTTCTGATTGTAAACATAGGTACTATTCTCTATTTGCAATTGCATTTGCCCCAAATAAATCTCCATTACTCTTTTCTCCATACTCAAAGGAAGGATACTTAGAGTCTCCAGCATGAAACCTATGAAGGCTTGTAGCTTGTGTTTTAGCTACCAAACAGATGGAATTTCTTTTTCTATCAAATGTTTACAGGTGAGTTGTTAGTAAGTTGATGAAGCAATAGAGTCAGAGGTACTGAGTAAATGGGATGTCCCTGTTTGGGAAACTTTCTATTTACTTCATCAAGTTTTGGATCAGGCCCACGTCACTGAAGTACTGAACTTTAACCACAGTTCTTCCAAAATTGCTGTAAATAGCTATGGCATCTTGTATTTCAGCCCTTTTGTAGTTGAAATTTTAAGTTTCTAACTTGTGCTATTTCCCCAATCCAAACCAGTCTATGGGGCTATGTCTAGATTGCAGAGCCTTTCTGGGATATCTCCGGTATCCCGGAAAAGCTCTTCTGCATCCTAGGAACACATCCATTTTTTCAGAACAGTTTCTGAAAAAGCGGACATATTTTTTTCAGCATCCTTGTATTCCTTTCAGTGAGAGGAATAAGGGATGTTCCGAAAAAGGCATTTTCTCTGAAAATTGGCCTCATGTAGACAGGCCAAATTTCAGAAAAGCTTCTTTGGGGAAAAAAAGAGGAAAGAGATATGCAAATGGTGGTTTGCAATTTGCGTATCTTTTTCCCGACTTTTCTCAGTGGTATAGAGACAGCCTGAGTGAGAAAGGAAAGGTGGCATTCCTTTCACTATGATGTCCTTAGACATATAACATGTTTCTATATCATAACGTTACTTTGGAAAAAGGAGGATTCTTCAAATGGACTGCTCTTTTAAATTATCTTAAATAAATGAAGGGGAAAAAAAAGGGGAAAAGTGTTTTAGATTATCTAAAGACTGATGAATGCTGAAGGTGGAATGTCTTTATATATTTATTTTAAAATATTACTATACTCTGTCTGGAGCCACATTATTCTCCATGGTAATTTGCTGTTTGAATATTTTGAAGAATGTGATTAAATTCAAATGCTTTGATGAGTAATATCTCTTCACATTTGTCTAGAACTTTATTTTTTATTGAATAGCAAGAGTGATGAAAATGTTTTCCATAATAATAACAATGACAAGGGCCTTATGATGAACTACAATTAACTCAGTGATTCATCAGTTAGAAGTGAAAATTTCAATGCATCCTGACATTTAGAGCATTTGGTTGTGATTAAGTCTTTGAAATGTCACAGAATTTTATTTAATTGGCTATGATTTTTTTTAAAAAAGGTAATCACTGCAAAGATCGCATTCATCACCAAAAGAGATAATTGCAGTTGTCACATGATATAGTAGGTGCTAACTACCATACCAAGTACTTCGGTATTCTTGCAGCAACTAATGAATACTGCATAAATCAATGGTTGGAAAGAACGTGGAAGTGGATTTAAATACGCTTTTCAAAGACATTAGTATCAGCAACTTCAGCCTCAGAGACATTAGTATTAACAAACTAGGCAAATTCTGAAACTGAAATGCAGATAATTGCGAGACAAAATTAACTGAGTTTAATTACTGTAACCTCTGTACAATCCTAAAAACCAAGCCAGAATCTCAATAGCCTATTTGTGTGATAAATAGCTTTTGTGTGTGAGAGACACCCTCAACTAACTTGTAATGTACGAGAAGAGATTTCTACCATTTAAAGGTCACATACAGTAGATGAAGTGGAAAATAGTTTAAAGTATCCTTCTAAAGGAACATTAAGTAGCATCCTTCTGGACAAAACTGTTTAAAAGCACACTTGTAAGAGAGTATATGCATGTAGCAGATGTATTTCTATGTTCTCTCCATATATATATATATATATAAAGTCCTGCAGAATGACAGAATGACACCATCATGCACTCATGCTCTCTGTTGCAAAAGCTGCCATAGAGAGGGGGATTGGTGAACATAGTGAGCACGGGGCACAGACCACTAGTAAATATGTAAAGTAAAAATGTATAAAGATATTGGCTTCATTTTTATATTGTAAATGAAGACATTACTTTACATTGGTCAAATCTGAAGGCACGCATTGCACGTTTCATGACTGCCTTCTCAAAGATTCATTCTCACCCTGGTTACAGTTCAGTGGGACATGATTTCACCTGATTCTTACGACTATCTATTTGTGTGCCTAGGTTTTTAACTAGGCTTTATACTGCACTCATTGCCATATTATCTAAGTATCTTACTGTGATAAGGTGTACTAACACCACTCTGGGCCTGAAAGAGTTAACCAGGGCTACCTGGATGAGAGAGCCCCACCCCACAAACCTGCTGGGCATGCTCCAGGTGGAGGATCTGTATCAAGGCCAGGGGAGCTGCTCAGTCAGGGCTGACTGCTGCAGAGGAAGAAGCTGATGCCAGAGCTCTGGAGGAAGAGCTGCTGATGGACCGTGCCATGGAGGTCAGTCAGCAGGGAATAGCCAGAGAAGTCCTCAGCCCAGTGGAAATGGGAAAGGAATTGGTAGGAAGTAGCCCAGAGAGGGGAGTTAGTTCCCCGAGAGCTCAGCATGTTTTGGGCAGATTCCCTGCTGAGCCAGTGGTGGGACACAATTACCACTGACAGGGTCCGGGGCTGGGACCCGGTGGAGAGGGTGGGCCCAGGTCCCCGACCCACCTCCATTAACCCTAAAGAGAGTGCTACATTGTCACTATTGACTCTGGCTGCTTGGCCTAAATGCCCTGCAAACAGTGGGCTTGCTATTGACTCTGGCTGCTCGGCCTAAATGCCCTGCAAACAGCGGGCTTGCTATTGACTCTGGCTGCTCAGCGTCATTATGTTAAGGGAAGGGAGGGAGTAAGAACTGACTCTGGCCTTTAGGCCTCACCACTCAGAGGTAAGGGTACAACTACTGACTCTGTCGGCGGGGCCTCACTACCCTTTCTGAAGGAGATGTTTTATTGATTATGGTCGCTAGGCCGGACTGAGTGAGAAGACCTGGGCCCTAAAAACTGAGACACTCATGGGATGGAGCATGCTTCAAGAGGCCTGAAAAGCCCAAAGCCCTGCCTCAGAGGGAGCTAGAACTAATCACCCTGTGACACTTACACATTTTAATACAAACACCTAGGAGCTCAGTTTTTTTGATCAATTTGTAATTTTTTCCCCAACCTATGTAGATGTGGAGGGGTAATGTAGGATGTGTTTTGTGCATAGTATTGCTGATAGTTACTGTAGTACAACAAGTTTCTAATTTTATATTCGATGTCCACATTGGGGATTTTAGAGTTGCTCAGTACTTCATGCAGCTATTTGTATTATCATGTTTGGCATGTTCTGCATCAGGGAATTAGTCCCTCATTGTCTAGGTAAATAGGGCAGTGGAATATATTTGCTTCAGCTTCCTGCCACTGGATATACCTTTGTCTGCAGGATTAAAGAGCCATCTCCTATCAAAAATCTGCTCCCTCTGAAGTATTTATAAACCATGATAAGCTCCTCTCTTACAGACTCTTTTAAGAAGCTATATCAATTAAATTACACTCAATCATGCATTTGCCAGTATCCATTCTTCTACAAGACTCACTAGGAAAAAGTAGCCTCTAAGAGAATTTACAGAGAGGGGTTTCATGTAGTGGCATTTTAGAATAACCTTATTGTTAAGAAACTTGCCCTTGGTATAAGTGCTGTTCCTGGGTAAAAGGATAAGTGGGCTGTACCACTAGGTACCAGTGATACCTTGATGCTGGTATTCCACCTCAGAGTAACACTGCCAGCCCCAGGGCTTTGGACAATAAAGATGGCATATAGTCACCTTTACCTTACCCCCTTCAAGTTCAGTCTATGCAAGTTTTGCCTTCCATGATTACATTTGGTACTCCTGCCTTGCTTGATAGACCTTACTATAGTTTTGTGATAATGTAATTTATAATTTTTCAAGTGCTCATCCGTATTGGGATCTTGCTGACAGAGGTAATTGCTTATGATTAGCTGTAGAAAGATAAGAGCGCTGTCCCCCTGGAGCTTGTCCTGACTGTTGCATAGAAAGATGTTACAATCCCATTAGCTGGCCTGGGCTTTTGACCTGAAACTTCCACTACTACTGTTAATCATGGTCACAGGGTTCCCACAAACTAATAGACTTATTTTAATAAAAATTGTAACCAATGGCTTTAAATCTAGAGTAACTGACACCATTCTAATTGGTGCAATCATTTCTCTTTTATTCTCACTCATTCTCACCACCTTCTATTTGCTTATTCTATCTAAAAAATTCTCAGAGAAGCATGCAGTCAGTTGAATGAAAATACTGCTAGAGTTGTTCTCTGTTGGAAAATATAGCATGATAATGCATTTCAGATTTGCCAGGAATTACCAAGAAAAGATCATTGTGAACGAGAACACATGAAATCACAACACAATAATCACTCATTCTGATATTCAACATGTGGGAAAACATCTCAGGCAAAGACAATAGGACTGATTTCAATTAAAACATTCCTTTCTATTTTCTAGCAGATATTATTTCAAAAAATTCAACATGACTTTTTAATGGCAGTGGTGGTAAAATAAACTAGTTGATCTGCATGGGTTGTCCCCATTATTGTGTGCAGATTCAAATGAATGACATTTCTTAGACATTATTCACAGGAATGTATCAGAAATCAAAAGCTGACCTCATGTTTTGGCAAATAAGTGAAATATAATAATATTATTATATCTCTGAACTGTTTCCAAACTGTTTCTATGTCTAGACAGAAATTAACATAATTTTGCATTTTTCTCTCTTTGAGTAAGGGAAGACAGAAATGATAAGTTATAAAAACTCTTCAGATAGCCAGCTTTGTACAAAAGTAGCTAAGACATATTAATCATTGTGCTAAAACTAAAAGCAGTGACAATCATTGGTTGATTTCTAGTAACTCTGTATGTTCCTGAAATATTTGTCAAATATAGACTAATATCATGACATCAACCGTTACCAAAAAAATTAAGAGAAAAACTCATATTTAATAGAGTACTTCAAGATCTAGAGTAGTCTAATGTGAATGAACAGCCCTTAAATAATTTGATTTGTGCGTGTGTGTATGAGTGTGTGTATGAGTGTGTAAAATGTCTCAAGTAATACATTGTACATTAGCTCACAAAGCACCTTTATTATCATCATCATTTTATGTAGGGGAGATTTTGAGCAGGAGCCTGTCATGATTTATTAGCCAGTTATTAAAATGAAAGTGAATTTTTAGCCATTAACATAATGGAGGGGAGGAGCATCGATGCTTAAAGAAACGTGCAAACTTACATCACTGAGAATGTTGAAAGCCTCATTTAAAGCTATATCCAGCATTCCAATTCCTTTTGCAAAAAGCTTGTTGAGGTGCTCCCTGAAGTGCTGAAACATGAATAACACAGGTTGTAAATGCAATATTCTCAGAAATTCAGTGCTTTTATAGAGGTCACTGACTGAGGATTTATGGATATTTTAATAAACCTATATACCATTTATTAAAGATTAAAGTAAATCTGCAATAAATGGAACAATTTTTTTATTCACCTATTCAATTATTTTTTTCATAAATATCCAAATCACAATCCTGAATCACTGGACAGCCAGCTGTCAACATTGAATCTATTCTCAACAATTTATAACATCCAATTTTCAGCCTATTGAGGCAGAGGGAGCCCAACACATTCCCAGTAGATATTCCAACTAAAATAATTAAAGCAAGAAGAAAATCCACATCTTATAGAATCCGCAATAAGAACCAAAATTAGCAATAACTTTGGGAAGGGAGTAAAAGGCAGGTGGATTAGATATATGTGAGGAGGCAGGTAGACATGTTCTGTTATTTGATAGTCTCAGTTCTTTTAATCAAATGCAAACATTTGTGTTATGACACAAGAAAAATTAGATGTCCAAGATTAATGCACACATTAGAAATGTGTGTTATTAATCTAATTTGTGTAAGTATGGATATGACTTCAATAAAATGCTACATTATTAAAGTAGCAGCAAAACTGCCCAGTGCTCAAGCTATTTTCAGTTCACCAAACCCAGCACTGATTGAAATTAGTAAGTAACAGAGAATAACAGAGGGAAAGGAAAATTAGGAAAGGATGCTTTATAAATTGGAGGGAGCATGTGTGAGTTCTCACAAGCCCCATGTTAACCAGATTCCAGGCTCCAAGAAGAATTTTAGTGTTCTTTCCATTTTATTTTAAACGAGAGTCTCCAGAATTTTAAACATAAAGTATATAAATCAATTGCTGTGGGTGAAAGGACTTGGTAGATGTTTCTCACTTCTGCAGTAAGGTGTTAGGGAGAATTTAAAGGATGATCTTGAACCATAGACAGGAAGTGTGTTGTGCCCATGAAAGCTCATGATAATATTTATATATTTTTGTTAGTCTCTAAGGCAGCGGTTCTCAAACTTTTGGGACTCCGGAGCCCTTAATATGCGTAAAAATTTATGCGGCGCTCCAGCGGTCCGCTGATTGTATGTGTTGTACTTATGCGGAGCCCCAGTGATTCACTGATTGTATGTGTTGTACTTATCGATGTTTCCAGTTTGTCAACCTCACGGAGCCCCTGGAGATGTCTCGTGGAGCACAGTTTGAGAAACACTGCTGTAAGGTACTATAGGAACATTGGTTTTTTTTTAAAGTTTTTCATAGACTATACATTTGTTTTCTGTTTGATCTCATTCTCCAGGTTCCTCCATATTATTTCAGCCAAAATGACTATGCCCATTAATTCATTAGCAAAATTTATTCTTTTTTTGGGATGCTGGGGCAGTAATTCTGTGATGGGTATCATAGACTTCAGAGGATTTTTTTTTATCATGAATACATTTTGTGACCAATTTTCAATGTTTTGTTGTGTTTTTCCTTTTAGGGGGATTTCACACTTCTTCAGCCTTAACATATCTGCTTCCAAGGCTTTTAAACCAACTCCAGTATTACTAATGGCTGATAAAAATATTCCTCTATACTGGGATGAGACATACTTATATAATCAAATTCATCCCTGTTTAGAAGGCTAGCTTCAAATCTATTAATTTTCTACATTCCATTTAAACTCTGTTTTGACATTGTAAGTGGGACTTGAATTGTGTATAGAATTTTCACAAGTCCTTCCCATGTGGTGTAAATTTACTCTCATAGGCTATGTCCAGACTCAGGGTTTTTTTCGGGAAAAGTAGCCTTTTTCCGAAAAAACTTCCCCTGCGTCCAGACTCAAGCCACGTTCTTTCGAAATTAAATCGAAAGAAGGCGGCTTTTCTTTCGATGGCGGTAAACCTCATTTCACGAGGAAGAACGCCTTCTTTCGAAAGTTCCTCTTTCGAAAGAAGGCGTTCTTCAATGTAAATAGGGCTTCTTCGAAAGAGAGCATCCAGACTCACTGGATGCTTTCTTTCGAAAAAGCAAGCCGCTTTTTCGAAAGTTCAACGTGCAGTCTAGACGCTCTCTTTCAAAAGAGGCTCTTTCGAAAGTATCTTTCGAAAGAGCCTATTTCGAAAGAGGCTTGCAGTCTAGACATAGCCATAGAGTTTTACTGCCACTACCATAGAATCACAGAATACTAGAACTGTAAGGGACCTTGAGAGATCATCTAGGCCAGTCCTCTGCCCGCACAGCAGAACAAAGCACCATCTAGATTATCTCTGATAGATGTTGTTATACTGTGCTATAATATTTGTTTAATAACTAAACACATCTCAACTGTCAAAACTTTGTCCCCTTTCATGACTATTGCATTCAGCAATAGTATAACACTATAATAAGGCCAAAAGTTCCAGAACTATTGAACGTTAAAAACTGTTGGCAACTTCTGAGAGAAACTATAAATTACCAGCCATGGAATGATCACATTTTTATAACCAAACAACTAATTCACTGGATTTTTCTCTCTCAAAGCAATGCTTTCAGATCAAGAAACAAAATCTGCCAGGCTTACAATGGCAAGACTGACATCTAAACTGACACATACAGTGTCATGAACCATGCTACTTTATCAAAATAAGTTGTCTGTAATATAACCTATTATAAAAAATTCTCCTAAACAGTTTTTTGGATAAAATAAAAAGTTATTATAGTTTATTGGATGCCAGAATACTTTCTATTTTGTTAAACTCTAGTACATTAGAGTTAAAAAATTTACATCAGAGCTCCAGGCAGTTTTGAAGCATACATTGTTGCCACAAACAGGCTGGTTTTCCAAAACAATTAGGGTAGTTTAATGTTCATAGTGACCTTCTAAATGTGGCTCACACCGCTCAATAGTTTGAATAGCCAAAAGGCAAAGTCTTGTTTATCTAAATAAGAACTGACAACATAAAACCCAGAACAGCCTAGATAATGGAATGGTGCTTTTGCCTCCACTACCAGGCAGTTAATTTAAACTAATAACTGTACAGTGAAGATAATGATAATTATAATGAAATTCTTTCCTACTAGCTACATAGATATAAATTAATAATGTGAACAAAAACAATCTAAAATTCAGGATTAGGGGAGACTGGAGAGGGACACCATGGTTTGGGGAAACCCTTTACAGTGCATATCATCTTATGATATTTCTACAATTAGAAAGCAAAGACCTAACTAGACAGATATCTGATCTTGTAGGGGAACACTTATATGTCCCTATGATCAATCAACAATTTTAACTTAACAAATCCTGTATTTTCAAAACACTACTTATATGAAGTCAAACAAAACACAATTATATTTCTAATTAAAGCTTTAAACTACCAGTGATCTTTAATGTATTGCACCCACATTTTTAAAATAGTAAAAAAGGAGGTGAATACGATGTTCAAACATTCAATACATGCACTGAACCTTTTTGTATTTATCAATATACAAATTTTAAAATACTTGGAAATGTAAGCTAAAGTTGACAGCAAACTACGCTGCCAGCTTTTCAACCGCAAACTGTGTATGTTAAGCATATCAGGGTAGCAGGAGGTCGGAGCACGATAATGGCAGTTTCTCAATTCTGGGGTTCATTCTTTATTCTTAGCATAATTCAGAACATTTTCATGGTTACTACAAACTGCCTGTAGGGCTGATCCAAAGCCCAGTGAAGTCAAGATTCCAATTAGGTTCAATAGAGATAGATCCTAGTCTAATGTCATGAAAAGGATTACTTTAAAAAATTGCTTTTCAGATTGTTTTGAAAAATGTCAAATTCAAACCAAAATTAAAAATTTCTGTGACATTTTTGATTTTGTCATAAATCCATCTTTTGTCAAAATTGCATCAAGTTTTAGCAAGCATGGCCCCTCTCTGAGACATGACAGATAGGGTAGCATGCAGTTGTCATAGCTACCTCATAAGCCCCAGTCTGGTAAAATCTCTCAGAAGCTGGCCATAACTTTCTAAAGGAGGGTCAATTTTCTGGCCTTTTATCTTTTATTTTAATCCAGCTGATTTATTAAGCAATTAAGCATCCCTATTAATTTTTTCTCCTTTGAAACTGAATGCTATTCTACAAACATTTCGTAAGCTAACAAAGAATTTTGCTATAAAAGAATGCTTCACAATAGTTTGCAAAAGCTCCACACATTTCAGATTGTTTCATGGATATTGTTAAAACTTTCTGATGAGGTATGTATGTTATCACATATGAATGTGTAGTAGAAAGAAACAGATTACTTAAAATTCTCAGTAAATAGCATAATGTCTAATCTAGAATCAATGTATATAATCTATCAGAAGTGTTTTCTCTCATCATATATGTGCTGAAAAACACACATTTGAAATCCATATAAATATGATGTTGACATTTCTTTGCTATACAAAATGGTAAAATGTTGACAGTGGATTTTATGCACTATGAATTTTAATGAACCTATGTTTTCTGCTTCTGGCCTCATAGTGAGCAGATGCTACTAGGTGATTCTGCAAAAAAGATTGAATTAATTAAGGGTTGGGTTTTTTTTAAAATGTGCTTTGTAGTCTCTATACTTCATTGGTTTTCAATCTGTTCTTTGTTGTTTGAGAATGTCAATAACACTTCAACAGTATGTTTATCCATCCACTAGAAAATTTAGTCAACAATACTTAAATTATTGTTTCTTTAATGCACATCTTTGTCATACTGGATTTCATGGTTCTGCTGCACTAACTAGAGTTATGCCAAATGAAGTGAAAAGTCTTTTCAATGGAGGAACTAAGAATAGTTTTCTCAAGCTGTTAGTGTATGTCTAGTTGAGAGTAGGTTTGTTTTAAAACATTCAAGATATATTATTGTGTCTATTGGTCTTTATAAAAAGCCAGATTCCAATACCCACAACGACAATGAGTGGTACTATGTTCCATGAACAGTCCAAATGACTTCAGTGAGACTACTGATGACATATGGCATCGTTCAGTGAATCAGGCCTA